CTTGTGCAGGCAACCCCATTCTGTCTCAAGAAAGTTGTGTGTGAGAATGACTCCCCCCTGTCGCCCCTTCCGAGCGTTACCCCGACCCCACCCCCTCCATCCCGTCTCACCCCACCTTCCTTCTTTTAGCCTTTCTGCATATACATGTCTGTTTGAATGCAGATGGCATAAAAAGACTTTTATTGCCACAAAGTATATCTGTTTTTCTATTCTATCTGTTGCTCCAAGTAGAAGGCATTTGTGGCATGCACTCTTGTACTGGACTGTACCGCAGCTCTGTAGACTAACCAGTAACCCTCTCCTCCAACCATCCCCTGCTTCTGCGTGGATATGATTGGCGTCCATTTTTACGCTCTGCTTCTTTTTCCCACCCATACGTCCCTCCACTCGGCTTCTACATGTCAGCGTGTGCGTGCTGAGGGGAGGGGGGGGTCTGCCCCCAGCAGCGGCAGCTCCTCCCTCCGAGGCGTCCTGTGTTCGTGCTCGTGCCTGCTGTCTCTGTCAGTGCTCCGTCTGCGTCTGCCAAAACCAGCCTGTGTTGTCCGCTGTGCGTGCTCGTCTTGTGCTTGTGTTGTCTCCGTGTTGAAACCAAAACTGTTAAAACCTCACCTTGCCCCCTGCCCCCCCTTTTAATCCCACGCGGGTTCCACGAGAGGGCCAATAGAGCGAATCCCGTGAGATGACTCGCAGTCCTCTGCGTGCATTTACAGAATTGTCCGTTCAAGCTAAAGAAAGCGCCACGTGCAGAAATGCGTGCGCGCTGCGAGATGCTCAGTTTTGGAGGAAGGCAAATAAGTCGATTTATGATTTCATTTCACGGTGATTAACGGCGCCGTGGCTTGTCATTACCGTGCAATCAGAGCAATTTTATGATTAATGTGTCATTATATTGGGGTAATTGATTCAAATGATTTCAATCAATCCGCGAGTGCATTTCAAACTGTTTGATTTGTCCGTGCAGCACCTACAAGCTGCCACGAGTCAGGCCTGATGGAACTAGGTTTTAATCTGACTCACAATAGGCCAAATTAAAAAGTCTACCTCCTAATGAGACGAAGCAGTGGATGTGGAAAATGTCTTTGTCGCAGCAGAACTGTTTTTTTTGTGCGAGCTGGAAAAGCAAAGGTGTGACTAATAACATTAATGATGTCTTTGCTCCACTCTAGCGGTGCCCAAAAGCCATACCAGGCAGACAGCTTTCATAAATCTTGGAACAGAGCCATCATCATTGTTATTAGTTACACCTCTGTCTCTATACTGTGTAAAAACGTCTTATCTTAAGTCAAACATGGAGTGTTACGGTGGCTCTATTACAAACCTACTAGTAAATGTTCATAAAACCTGTAATATGTGAACCTTCCGAGCCCATAAAAAACACATTTCCACCTATTTGTGAAATGTTTGATCAACTAATGCCACGATATTTAAAGGGGAGCAGTTATTCTGTTCCTTAAGATGCTACTAACATGGTCACCCCAGGCACAGAAGCCCCACCCACCTCTTCAAACCTTTTCGAGGGGCAGCCAATCAAAGGAAGGAAGGCGCTTAAACTGCTTCTTTTACCCAGTTTAAGGTAAATAATAGGATTCGATATTTCAAACTATGACTAAGCAGGATCCAAAACATCAGCTGCTTTAAGCTGCTCACTTATTTATATTATAACTTTCACAATACCTCTGGATCCGATGACTGCGTTTAATGGGCAAGTCTACTTATACTGAAGCTCATAACTCAGAGAGGATTATCACTGCAGCGTGTGTTAGTTTCATGCACCTGCAACTTTACTGTTTTGGGTCAATTTCACACTCGTCATTAGCGTCGTTTCCAGCTGCAGCATTGGAAAAAAAAGGGACAGGCACTCAGCTCGCTGCGGCAACAAGCTCCTGTTAGTGAACACAGTTGCTGTATTGACTTTATAATATGAAGTTATCTTAATTTTTGTCTTCAAGGGGCCAAAAGAGAGTTTAGTGTAGATTCAGGGGATGAGATTCAGCGGATTTTGTACACGTCTTGCACCCCTGAAGCACCGCAGCTCCCTAACACGCTTACTTTTTGCTGTGCTATAAGAATGACAGACTACCTGCTGAACATTATCGCACAGATAGGTTGGTTGAGCCTTTCTGAGCAACAGCCAGTCCAGGCGTTTTCTATAAGAGACGGCTCTCCTGCAAAATTGTGCAGCAGAAAGCACGCAGTGTAACTGTTGCATGCCACGCTGCAGTCAGCTATGTCATGGGAAGAATGTTTTTCCATAAAAAGGGCATAAATGATCCTGCATGCACCGTTACCCTCTGCCTTTGATCAAGTGCAGCGCAGATCAAACAGATGTGGTGTATTTATAGATGTTTCCTCATCTCGTTTGCCCGGGGTAGATAAAGTCCAGGATCTGGCGTTCAGATTAATCTTAGACTGGAGGCTGGGATGTAATGTTGTGCGATTTCTTCGCTGCTGTATATGAAGAGCAAAGTGCAGGATACGGAATGAAGTATGATAGGGATGGATCACCGAGTTTCCTTGTGGCATCGGCTATGGATTCCGTCAAGCCCCGCCGGGCCGGCTGTCACTTCGACACAGGCCTCGGATCAGTTTAAAGGTTATCCAGCTGACACACGTCTGCCGAGTGTAGAGGTGC